GGGGCTGAGTGATACTAGCATTAACAACATTGTAAGACAGTTGAACAACTAGTTACATTGCTGTTGTTGCATCACTCAGCCCCTGTGAATAACAAGTGGCCATCATGGCACTAACAACTGATCGTTAGTGCCATGATGGCTGCTTGTTATTCACAGGGGCTGAGTGATACTAGCATTAACAACATTGAAGACAGTTGAACAACTAGTTACATTGCTGTTTTTGCATCACTCAGCCCCTGTGAATAACAAGTGGCCGTCAGGGCACTAACGATCAGTCGTTAGGCTGATGGTCCTCCATGATCATGTGAACAGCTGGTTCTGGATGTCAACAACAAAATGGTTGCTCCACTATGAGAAGGTGCTGTTTATAGGACTGAGTTTATTGCAGCTCCTCAGACTGACGGTGTTTTGGATAAAAGACGAAACTTTTCAAGAAGTTTTTAATTTTTTCATGTAATTTATTCATTTTTATTTTTCTTGAATCTGTTCAAAACGTTTTTAATTTTATTCATTTGTTTATTCTTCTTGAATCCTGACTTAACCTTGTCATATGTTTCTGCCTGGATCATCGGGATTTACAGAAATGGAGTTTGATGATGATAATAATCCCGGAGGAAGCATAAACTCATTCAAGCCCGTTAATCCCGGAGGAGGACATGTGCTGTAACTCCAGCCTGTTTTTATGCTAATGCAGCTCTGACATCAGCAGGGAGGTCTGGGGGTCAGGACTACTTCAGAGCAGAGTCTGCCCCCCCAGCTCAGACCTGTCCTCGTCCTCTGTCGCCATGCCTACCTGCGCGGAGCTCCTGGACCGAGCCGAGCTGGATGTTAGTGCGGGATCCGGCTGACTGCAGGACGCCACGACACACCTCTGGACTCCGCGGGTTTTCTGTCGTCGCTGAGCGGAGGAGCACCGCGGGGAGCAGGTGAGCTGCAGCCGGCCTCTGCAAGCACAAACACCGCGGAGAGTTGGCGCTGGACACCGCACGGGATTATAATCCGAAACCAACTCACCCGAAGGAGTTTTACATTCACTGAATAATAATGGGACGTTTCCAGAGATTAAAACGAGTTCTAGCTGTTACAGTGACTTTAAATGTATTTAATGCGAAATCTGTTGGTGTTATCAGCGAAGGTAAATATAATTTTAACAATATTAATTTCAAACGGTGGCACCTAATCTAATGTATAGCACAGCTAGCTAACAGTTATTAATATAGCACAGCCAGCTAATTGTTCATGTTTACCTGATTATCTTCAGGTGTCTCTTGTAAATGAGTCCCGGGGCTCAATGGGACCAACCTGTATAAATAAAGGTTGAATTGTTTTAAAATAAAGCGTGTTCCACGTCATTATCATAAATATGTCGCGGTCCTCTGGGTGACCCCCCCGTGTTGCTCAGGTCACTTCGGCCTTCGGGCTAAAACAACACGTCACTTTACGAATCTTTTGTTTAGTTTTTCCTTCATTAACAGATAATAATTAAAGATTCGGTTGTTTCCCTCTCGGGTATCGACAGAGCCTGAAAACGAGACTAAAACTAATCGTCGTGCGTGTTTCGGCTCGGACTCGTTCATTTCTCCTCGATTTAGTTAAAAGTTTCCAACGCGTCTCGGCCAATCAGCGACGAGCTGAGCCGACTTCAAACGGGCCGGCGTCGCGCTGCCCTCACGAGCTCGCTGAAAGCTGCGTTCAAAGACCCTCTGATTATCCGCTACTCTGTCTGCTGCTGAAACTCTGCACGGTTCTGTCCCCCACGCGCAGCACGGCTGATGCCCACACATCACGAAACATCAACATTAATCAAGTTCTTCACGTGTGTTCCAGTTCGATAGCAATCTGCTGCTCATTTAGCAGAGGGGTCGCGTGTGTGCTGGAGATGAGCGCGTGTAAAGTCAGCGATTGAACGTGTGGATGCCGAGGAGTCTTTTTATCTCCGAGTTTCTGTGCTGCAGCTTTTGTTTGTGGCGCGTAGGAAGAGGTCAGAGGTCAGAGGTCATTTACTGGACTCACAACACCAGGGCACGTTCACAAAAAGTCTGGAGTTTGACTTTACTTCAGATTAAGTGTTTTCATTCACGTTTCCTAAAAGATAAAAGCTTGGAAATCTAAAAAAAAAAAAAAAAACTCGTTAGATCAACCAGAGCTTTCTCCTCATTGTTTGTGTCTAAAATATGAATAAATCAGTGGACATGAATCAGTTTTAGGGACATCTGTGTTGTTTTTGATGTTTCCGACATAGACACACACCGGCTCGTACACGTTTCAAGATTTAACAAACGGATATTTATTTCTTTAAGGGGTTTCAAACATTTATAATGTCAATAGAAACATCAAAGCAAATATGTGCTTGTTTTTAGTATTTCGCCCAGTTTTACGCACCCTGGTTTATTGTTTTATCTTATTTTAACTGCATTTTTACTGTAGTTTATTGTGTTTTACAAGTTGTGTCTGGATCAGGTCTCTCCTGTGAACGAGTCCTCGTGGCTCAATGACATTAGTCTGTATAAATAAAGGTGGAATTAATAAAAAAAGGTGAACCGTGCTCATTTTTCACCATTACCTCATTATCAAATGAAAGTAGGGGTGCACCGATTTATCGGCCCCAATTTCCTTAGTTTTGTAAAGTCAGAGATCAGCCGACTTACATGAGAAACTTTTTTTTTGTTTGTTTTAACGTTTGTCTGAACTTCATTTATATTTCAGAGCACGACCTCATGGTGGGTTAAAACAAGTTTGTATTGTTTCTAGGATTTTGTGTCTGTTTTTCAATAAAATAATATTGGAAAATTGAAGTTGCGTTGTGACATTATAACTCCTGACGGTGTCGCTTATTAAACAAAATCGCTTTCAGTCAGACTTTGTAGAAATCGGTGATTGGCCAGAAAACTGCAGTCGGTGCACGTTTAGGAAGCAGCTTTGCTTGAAGGAATGCACGTCACCTGCGTGCCAAATCTTTAAATGACGCTCTCACGGAGTCCGTCAGTCGTCAGCTCACAACCTTTAGACATTTAGTGCCGGCTGAGGGCTGTTGTGTGGACATCTTGAACTGGAATGACCAGAAAAGTTGATCAGTTTTTATTTTAATGTACAGCCACTGAGAGTTTCAGCACAATCCATCAGGCGGTTCATGAGATATTTTGCTAACAGACAAACAGAAACGGTAGATGCTGATAAGAGCTGCTGATATTTTTGTGGCCCTGTGTTTTTGCGTCGTGTCTGCATTTTCCATGTTTATAAAATTAAACGAGCCAGACCACGGTAGAAACTTTTGTCATGAAATTATGGAAAGTTTTTGTCAAACGAGCCGAGAAATTTAAAAACTGACGTCTGGAAAACTGTAATTTTTCAAATTAAACATGCGTCTGAACCTGGAACCGTTTAGAGACTTTGTAGATTTTTATTTTATTATTTCAGGTGAAAAATTGGTTGTGTTTTGCTCGCTTTACATTTATTTTACATTTTTTATCACAGCTGGAAACTTCCCTTGTCCCGCTGCTTGAACTTGTGTTTCTGTGTTTCATATAATTTCTGTGGTTCTCTGCAGGATTGATCTGGGGGGCTGTGCCATGACCTTTGACCTGTAGCTGGCCAGCCCTTTGTGTTTGTGTGAAGCGGACGGTGCACGATGAGGAGCAGCCCTGTCGCCTGGCCTCTGGGTGTGCTCGCAGCTCTGCTGCTGTCTCAGCTCTGCTCCGGCATCAAATGGCTGTAAGTTCCTCTGCGCAGCTGCTCGTCTTTTGTTCCACCTCTGTTTGCTGGAGCTCTGATGTAAGGAACACGGCTCCTTAAGGTTACGATGACTCACACACGAAGCTAGCCGTTGGGTCCTGCTCTTTAAACGAGAGCGTCGTCGTTTTGTTGATGTAAATGTGGCCCGAGCGTTGCAGGTCCAGGTCGTCGACTGCGACGAGCTCCGGCTGTAGAAGGACAGAAAGTCCGATGGAGGCGCCGCGGTGGCGTCCGTCGCGCTCTGTGTGTAGTCTAGTTTGGCCTCAGATCATAAAAAGAGTTTGCTGGAGAACAAAGATTTAACGCTGATTGATTTACTGAAAAACCACACAGTTTTTATGGTTGTGTCAAAGTAAACAATCACCTCCACATTAACTCTGGCAAGTCCATAAAATTCCTGCGCTGGTATTTGGATGATTTGTTTGAAGCAGCGAGTTTTACAGTTCGAGAAGAGGCCGCTTCCACCTCGCCTGCTAAACCAAACGTCAGCGGTGTAGTCTATGAGATGCAGGTCTATGGAGCATACTCACTAGAAAGTTTAATAATTTCACTATACATATTTAAAAATGCCCAATGATGCACGACATATTGTACACGTGTCACTGACATGTTAAACAGCTTCTGCAACAATCTACCTGTATGCAGCGCTTGTTTATTATATTCGCTTATCCAGCAAATTATTGTAGAATTAATGCTTTTGGAATTATTAATACTTTAAATGTTTTGCTTTGAAACCGTTTCCTAAATTCTATAACGTGTTTTTAATACAAAACCAACTGTTGTACAAAGTTTGTTGTACATTTATTCAAATATAAGCGTCAGAGAAATGTGGAAATGTTCAATAAGCTTCAAACTCAAAATAAATTGTATCAACTGGTGTCATTTGGTTTCTAAGCACCAGTATACCCAGTACAAATAAGAAGACCACACCACTGTAAAATGTGTATAGAGCCACAAAATGTTTGAGGCTAAAATGAAGATCAACTGCATTTACACACATCTAATGGTGCATTGTAATAATTAATATTTAAAATCAATAAAAAATGAAACCACCAGACGTATTTTGTGTGAAGTGGGTCAAGTCTGTAACTGGCTCAGATAAATCGAGCATTCAGACGAGCCCTCGTTGGTCATTTAACACCAGAATACATAAATACCGTAGCGTTAATAAGCTTTTATTAGAAACAAGTGCTTGTTTTATACAAATTTTATTAATAACAACACATTTTGACGCCTTTAAAGTCTAGTGGTCTCCACAGATTCACAAAACCACGTTTATTCTTTTATAGCAATTTGCCGCAGATTTGTTGAAAAATGTTAATTGTCACAAAGTTTAGTGTGAGCTCACAGATTATTAGATCAACAGTAAAACAGATTACTGACTTTTAATCCCATTTCGGTGAGAATAAAGAAAGTATTCACGGTTCGACAACGGTTTCCAAAGTGTTCACGTTCGAGCCCACAAAGGAACGGTGCTGGAGGCGTGTGACTCTGAAACCAGTTTAAATTTAAACTTTGCTAATAATCTTATCAAACGGAGGCGTCATTTCTAATCCAACTGCCTTAACAGCTGTATTTGTACGAGTGTATGATTATTGAGCAACCCCAACTTTAAAAAAATTGTCGTGTTGCGTGACACATAAACAAAAACAGAATGATTAGTGAACATTTTATTCAAAGTTACAGTAAACACGTTGCATGTTAAGATAAACTGCACATTTTCTCCCAGAGTCTTTGGAGCAGAATATTTCATAATATTTGAGAATAATCTGTTGTCTGCCTGGAGCACATGTTCTAAAAGTGCTTTTCTGCACTGATGGAGCCTTTCCAGCTGCCGACGCAGTAATGCACCCCCATACCATCAGAGAGAAAGGCTTTGAAACGGCGCGCCTGCCTCAGTCTGTTTAAGCTTCGGCTCAGAGAAGACGCCATTTGTGTTCACAGACGGCGTCTTCTTTGCACGATAGAGCTTGAACCAGAGTTGACTCGATGAGCTGTTTACAGACAATAATTTGTGTAAAGGTTCTGAGCCCATGCAGTGGCCCCCGAGGGCCCGAACAGCTGGAACTGAAGATTTGACCGTGTCCTTTGAGCTCAGAGATTCCTCCAGATCCCTGGAGTCTTTTGGTGACGATATGAACTGGAGATGATGGGATGATTAAAGTCCTCCCAGTTACTCTGAAATTGTTGCATGATTTCTAGATGCACGTTTTCAGCAGCGGCTGAACCTCTGCCCATCTTTACTTCAGACAGACTCGGCCTCTCTAAAATGTTATTTTAAATCTTGTCCTCTTACTGGTCTGTTGCCAATTAACCCAGTTAGACTCAGAAAGTTCCTCCACCTGTTTTATATTTGTACCATGACATTTAGAGCCCTCTGATGCAAATCACAATGTTTCAGATGTGTTGTTGCCATAAAATACAAAATGCCCTTTATTTTGCACAATTTCTCTTTTTTAAAAAAAATTTGACATGTTTACCGTGTTCTGGTGTGAATTAAATATAGATTTATATATAAATATAAGATTTACAAATATATATTTTTTATTTTTTACTATTTGCACAAGACCCCAACTCTACTGCTTTAGACGTCTACTGGTTTCTCAAAATATGACAGACATGTATTTAATATTATTGTCATTTAAAGCTACGACGACTCGTCACATTTTATTATTGTCATTTAAAGCTACGACG